GGGGATTGATTGACGGAAGACAGTTCATTCTTTTTATCCTCTTAAGCCTCATTTAATATTTTTTCCACCCGAAGGTACTTAAAATTTTGGGTAAAAAATTGTCTTCCCTCATTTGTAGGAGTTTTCGTCATCTCCATGAGCAGCTGAGATTATGAAATTGTCTAACTCTTTGGATGCTATGATAGTATTGGAAACTGGTCAGGAAGGAGATTAAAACAATTATTAGAAATAATGGTCCATAAGAAGTTTGTTTACTTTGTGGCATCCATCACCACGATTGCAGCATTCGCATCCTTGTAATACACTCTGGTCATAACTCCATAGCGGTCTTGCCCTGAAATATAATTAAGTTGCTTTGTCTGGGCTAACTTGTTTTATTGTAATATGGGCGTACAGAGTAGCAGCATTCAGGGAATTCTGAGCACTTTCTGAGAGACTTAATAAATTATTTCACTAGTGTAAAAGCATAAGCATAGGTAACAGCAGAAACAGAAAGTTCCGCACACCAGCGCACGCACAGTATGGGGATCGAATCTCGGATCGATACTCGCCCGGGCCAACCAGGCCTTTATCCCTCCTCGGTCGGTCAAGACCAGAGTCGATACGGGAACTCACTCCTTAGACGGGATTGATCAACGCCCAAAAACTTCATTATTCTTTATCCTGCCACTTATTTTTCCCTCCATATTGTTATCACGACTTATAAGAACGGCTTTGAGCCCTCAAAACATTTCAAAAAAGCCATGTTTCTATTTTGAACTATGACGACGGCAACCCCTTCAAATGACTCGCTCTTATGATAACCTATCATTTCACTGCTGTCACAACTGGTATTTATTCACTGCGCACCACTAGCACCGTTTGTATAACTTTCATGATCATTCAGTCATATGGGAGCAAATGATCACGCGATAACTGACAAGAATTACCTGATATATCCCATATTTGCAGGTATACTTGGGTATCATCGTCCAGATTCATCCTCTTCATTGCGAAATCTACTCCTATCTTAACAATGATATATACTTTTCATGTAAAAAATTATACTTTTCAAATGAAACTGAAGTCTTTAACGTACCGTTGCTTTATAATTGGCTGTGAATACATCATGAACAAATCTTCTTATGATAGAGGTTTTACCCGTACCAGGATCACCAATTACAAGAATCTTGAACGAGTATTGCTTCGTCGTCATTCAAGTGAACTCTATAGCAGCGGTATGAGAAAAATGGAACTTCTTAGACAATTTTTGAAGTGAATTATTCATTATATTCAACTGTAGAGATGTTATAGCGCTCCCTGCTCAGGTTCAACGTCAAAGTATCGTACATAATTGTTAGCAGAATTGTATGAATATTTTCAGAAAACTTTATTATCTAAATACTTAGCGATAAAAAGAGCTAATACAATAGGGGAACGATGTTCTAGAAGGAGGAGAGTTTTTTTTGGATCGAGTGGAACCATCACATGTGTTATCAGCAGGTCGACTGCTATCATAGCAGTGGACACGACCTCGATGAAAAACACCATTCTGAAAGTCCTGATACCTCCGGTGGTGCAGACGATTCCAAAACCAACACAGATTGCTGCATCAAATAGTTGAACGAAAAATTGTGGTGTAGGAAAAATATGGAGTTGAAGCTTCGGGGGACGAGCCGGGATATCTTTATGAATGGGGCGGGGTAGTTTACAGGTCCACTGAGATTAATTATAATTAACTTGTAAGCTTTTTGTCACTAAAGAGCTATTCAAATGTCGTCCGTTATTCGATTATTTGCACAAAGTACTGGCAAGTAGCACGCTATGAAACATGCACAGCCACGGGTTCGAATCCCGAATCCATATGCTTAGGCCAACCAAATCTTTCATCTCCCAGGGCCGGTTTATTGGTACCATACTCTTCTAAGAGGATGAAAACACTGACTTGTTCATAGGCCAGCCACCGCAATTTATCGTACAGCCATTCAATTCGCGACTACGATTCTGAATGAAAGTCGAATGCGTGGGCGCATCCCTCATGTGGGATTGATTGACGCCCCAAGAGTTTTATCCTTCTATTGTAAGGATAAAAGTCAACGATGTTCTACAAATCGGAGTAGAAAGTGGCCGCTACCAGAAACAGCTTTATTCTACTTTCGTGACTGAACGCATGGCGTATCCCCTGAAGTTCAGATACATCTTCCCTTATGAACCTTGAAAGCCTTATATTTCCCATGAACAGGGTGGTAGCAACAGATTGGAATAAAAAGTTGTTGCAAGTACGTCGGAAAGGGAGGAATCTTTCCGTTCAGTAATAGATAAAACTTCGATTCTCATCAGCTTTGTAATCGGCTTAGTTGGGAGTTGCTTTGTTTGGTTTACATTCTTTCCTGCTTTTTCTTCACTTCCTTCTTATCTTGAACCCACTCACACTCTTTCCATGGAGACAATTACGCTGAATGGATAATATGGTAATACTGTGAGGAACTTTATGCGATTCTAGGCAGTATTTACAATTTCGTATAGTAAGTGCAACGGGGAAGGGATCCCGCAACTCAAGCACTGCAGCATTTGAAATCCCTACCATGTTTTATCAGACGCTGTAAATCGTGAGCCTCATCATGCAGAACCACCCCTCTTTCATGGGTAACATTCCTTTTTTCCTTACCAGTCATCGCAATACTGTAGTAATGAGAAGGCAACCTTCGTCAGGTTCCTTTTCTTGAATTGTTACCACGGTCGACGATCACTGCTCCTCCACCTGTAGAACACTTGGTTATGCTCGGAGAAAGCGTTACCTATTCGGCTTTCTTGTTGTATTCGTAGCAGTTGATGTTACATAAATAAAAGACGGTGGACTAAGAAAAGAAGACTGAGAGATGAAATTGGTTTCGGGTGAGTCTGGTTAGGTAAAAAGAAATGAATTAGCAATTAGAAAATTAGAGCTCTCCGGCTTGTGCTTTCAATCTACTCGTTAACCTACTCGTTGTCGATGAGAGAGATACCTCCAACTGAAAGTATTTAATTTATTTCGTTTTTAGACATCAAAGGCTCTAGATTTAGGGTTGGCTTTGCTATTAGGTTTCTAGTCATGTTTTTTGTCGGCAGAACAGTCAACTAGAAGATTGAAAAGTTCGCATTTTGTCTTT